GGCAGCAGGTCAGGCTGCAGCCTCGTTGCACACCATGGCGGTGCTTCAGGCTTTTCAGGCTGATCTGCTGAAAGTGGATAAATGCAGGGTCTATCCTCTGATGAGGTGGCTGAGTTGCATCGTACCATGGATCTTGCTCTCCGTGCCACTAAGCAGACCGCCACTGCCATTGGCAGATCCATGGCGGCCATGGTGGTTACGGAGAGACATCTGTGGGTGAGTCTGGTGGATATCGGGTCGAAAGAGAAGGGCTGATGCGCCGGTTTCCCTTTCTGAGCTTTTCGGCACTTCCGTCGAGACGGTGGTCGTGAAATTCAAGGAGGCCAAGACAAATTAATCCAAACTTGATGGTTACATCAGTGCAGGTTTACCAGTCTTTCTCCATTGGTTTTACATCTGTGTAAAGCTCAACTGCCTTTAAATCCTTTGTTCCACGAAGGTCCAGGCTTCGGACTTATATCCATGAGCCTGAGTCATGCGCGGGAGCCATGGTTGGCGAGTACGATCCATTTTTATCTACTCTACTGCTAGTTCTTGTGTATTTGATGCTAGCCTTTCTCTGCAGCGCTACTCGGACCTGTTCTGTTTTTCTGACTTTTAGGTTTGACCCACCTGCTAACTCAGGACCTCCTGCTGTTGACCGATTACAGTGATGGTTTCATTCATCGGTTCTGGTTCCAGGCTGGTGATAGCCCTCATCTTCAGCTTGGACACGCAGCCTGGACTTTTGAAGAAGCCTCCCAGCATCAGATCCCCAGTATAACGCTGCAACCTCAGGACCTGCGTGTCCTTCTCGTGGGCTAGTACTCTTCTGAGTACATGCTTTGCGACATGCTCCCTATACTCTGGACACGGGACCCATGCTCTCTATTGAGATAGAGAGCATGAGACCGTGTCCAGCTGCACCAGTGGACTGTCTCTTATTGGGCCCTGCTGGGTTACCCCTTCTAATCTAATGCCCCCTTCTGGTTGAGCTGAGAAGTGCTCCCCTCTCTGTGAGGGTTAGCTATGAGTCGCTCCCAGTATGTGCTGTAAGGGCCCGCCTCAGCTTGAGAGCCAAGAGCGCTGCTCCCGAAGGACCCCATTTGCAACGAACTAAGTGTTAGGCCCATCTCTGGCGCCTCCTTGGTCAGTTGCCTTTATGTTGGGACCCTGTTGTTCCCTTAGAAATGTGTGATCCCCTTCTATCTAAAGTATTCTCGTCGCTTCATAAAATTATTGTAGAACCACTGTAGTCACGTCGACTGTTTTATCAATGTCTTTAGTACCTTTATGGATCTTGAAAGTTTGGGTGGCGTTGCTGTCAATGGAGGCCTCTCTGAGCCATCAGATTTGATAAAAAATATCTTAATTTGTGTTCTGAAGATGAACGAAGGTCTTAGGCGTGTGGAACAACATGAGGGTGAGTAATTAATGACAGAATTTTCATTTTTGGGTGAACTAACCCTTTTAATAACTGCACACTTTACACTGTGACCTTGTAAATGTAGTTTAGATAGAAAATGAAATAAAATAGTTATTGATGATGCTCTCCTCCAACCCTTGCATGTCTTAAGGGTTTCTGCTGGTTTTATGACAGTAAATTTAAGAATTTTAAAGACATTTTAAGACAAAGTAAAGACATTTTAAGGAACAGTGTGTTGTGAAGTCTGACAAATTCCAACAGATCTCCATTATGTTTTAATTAATTTTATGAAAAATAGTTTCTGCTTAATTTTCTATGAAGAATATTTCTGCTCACAAAACACTGACTAGAATGTGGGAATAACTTGCATTATCTTAAAAAATATATGTTCTTCCTCAGTATTTTTTTTACTTGTTTGCAGTGCAAATCTAAATACATTTATCTGTGAAGCAAAATGACATTAATTAAGTCTTGTTTTCTGAGAAATTGATCAAAGTGAATTGAGTTTATTACTAAAACAAGAACAATATCTGCCAGTGGGCTCAGAAAATTCAAAGGGAATCTTTCATTCCTCATTACATACCGTATTCATTTTGCATCTCAAGTAAATGTATCTTGATTTAACGATTAGATGTAAAAACAAGACAAAAATGCTGAGGAAGATATTATTTTTTTGCAGTGCATGCAACATTTAATGTTATGACTTAATGAATTGAAGACTTTCTGCTCTGATTTAAGACCTTAATTTGTGGAAGGGCAAATTAAGATTTTTTTTAAGACCCGCAGAAACCCTGGTCTTTAAGCTGTGTTGTATCGAAACAACTTTAGATTACTGAAACGGCATGTTGTTTACATGCAGTTTAGGCATTCATTACCAAGACAATTCAATTATTTTATTAGCACCCCCAACAAATTGGAGTTGCTACTGCCCTGATTATATGTACACTGATCAGTGATATGTGTGTGATGATCATCAGATGCCGTACTGTCTTCTGGTCGTTCTCGAAGCATTCTCTGGCCTCTTCTTTATTGCATCTCTCCTCAAAGCACTCGCGCTCCAGATTTCCCTGCAGGATCTCCTCCAGCAGAAATGCATTGGCCCTTCTGGAGCGCAGCAGTAGCACATTGGCACGCTGCCGGGACCGAAACACTAAAACACACCATGGACTTCAACAAACATCACACTGTGCATGATTTGCAAAATTCACACTTAAATCTCTGTGGTTTGAGGAACACTAGCAGTGAACGTTCAAATCAAACTGGTTTAAATAGCGCAAAACTCTATAGGTCCAGAGTGACATACAGTTGACAGTCGATCTCTCACCTGTGTGCTGATCTCTGGATGATACATGATGAGCGATCAGCGTGAAGAACAGCAGCCGACAAATGAGTGATTCCATCGTGATCAATCAGAAGAAGATCCCGATGCCAGTCAGTCACTGATCACAACGATCAGCCGCTTGTCTGTTGCCCCACCCACAGTCAATACGGTCAATAACATAAGCTCATCTCCAAAGAGCGTCTTTCTCTGGATACATGTGTCTCTCTGTCCTGTACATGACTACTAGCCTACATTTAACACGCAAGATGTTCAGAATATGACGTCAGCACTTTCAGCCCATTAACATGCTGTGATTAAATACTGTTAAAAGAGCGAGTCATATTCATTCATTAAAGTGTTTCTGTTTGATGTCTAAATGGTAGATTGCGAAAATTAGATAATGACTGCTGTGTTTGAGAGTCTCTGTGTGCTTAGCACTGTGTATCTGGACTCTAGACTAGACCGTCAACATGACCTCTGAACTCTTCATCCGTGTGTTTGTGAAAACCTCCACATATGTTCTCAGATTAATTTCTCGTCAGGAAACACATTTGACTTTATATGATACGAATATGATAGAAACAGCTTATACAAATCAAGCATCGTGTTAATTAAAACTGTGAAACATCTCATTTGGATTATAGTCAGCATGAAACGGCATTGACAAACCAGTTTGGTTAGATTGGTTTATAGTTAGAGTAAATTGAAAGATTAAGAAGCCAAACATGTTTTTCTGTAGAATAACATCATCACTGATGAATAATCAACATGAATTAAGACAGTAAATAGTGTTGATTTACATTGACGTCAGACTTCTGAAGCAGCTCTTGTTTTTCTCTGGGTTTTATAGACACTGTCAACTTTATTTCTTGTCAGGAAACACATTTGACTTTATATGACACAAATACAATAAAAACAGTTTATAAAATCAAGGGTCGTCTTTATAAAAAACTGTGAAATCTCATCTAGATGATAGTCAACAGCATTGACAAACCCTCCATAATGTGACATTTTTCAGACCGAAACAAGATCTAACTAGAAATAACATTACTTTATTAATGAGGATTTTATTATATTGTTCATAACCGGAGCAAGTTATTTTGCGTTCAAGTCCTCCCGGAAAATTCGTATTAATGAGTTGGTAAGTTGTAATTATGTCATCAGGTGCATTCATGTTACTTTGGTCAGAGCAAAATGGCGATGTACCATATAAAATTCAGATTAATTTAATTCTACTTCTAAAACCTTATGAATAAAAATACGCTTTGAGAGTGTTTTTCTTTTGTAAGTTGTTATTCGATTTATGAAGGTTCTGTAAATTAAAATATTAAAATAGAAAAATATTTTCTATCATAATTGTACAAGACAATGATTAGATTTATTAGATGACAACTTAGATTTATTGAAAACATATATACAATTTAATTAATTTTAACAAATTTTCCATCAATACAGATGATGAATCTTGAATTTGGTGAATCAAAATTAATTAAGATAGTAAATGGTGTTGATTTTTACTTCAGACTCTTCGTACGGGTGTCTTCTGAAGCAGCTCTCGCTTTGCTCTGGGTTTTATAGAAGCTTCCATCTGTGGCATGACTTTTGACATGGCATTATGGATCCACATGATGTACTTGGAGACCTGCGTGTAGACGCCGTACTTGCCCTTCTGCGCACATCCTTCACCCCAGCTCACCACACCTGTGACGAACCACGTGTTTTTGTAGCGTGTCACATGTGGCCCGCCGCTATCGCCCTGACACGCGTCTTTCTCCTCTTGGTCGTATCCGGCACAGAACATGCGGCTGGAGATTTTAAACTTACTGGACTCTATACACTTGGCGCGGTCGATGTACGGCACCGTTAACTTCTGGAGGATGGTGGACTGAAGGCCGCCCTCACGCACGCGACCAAAGCCACTCACCATGCCATCCTCCCGACGCATCAGTATGCGCTCGGCGAATTCGCGCTCTGGCAGGCAGGCAGGGATGATGAATTTGGTGAATTTGATGGGCTTGCTGAGCTTGATGAGAGCGATGTCATTGTGGTAGGTGTCAGCCATGTAGTTCTTGTGAATCAGAATCTTGTCTACATCGTGCGTGACCTCTTGACTCTCATTGACCAGCGTGTCAAACTCACCTGACAAGAAGACACAAACAGGAATATCTCATTTGTTTCTCCTAGATAGATGTAAGGGTAGATGGAGACTTTTACTGAATTCTGCATGATGTTTCTCCTGAGAAAAAAGACCCCAGAAATCTCACATATAATCTCATATATATATATTCTGTTTTAATTTTAGTTTAGTTTTTTAATTTTATAAATTTTATTATAAGCGGTTTTGAATGTCATAGTTTTTATGTATTTTATTTCAATTTTAGTCTTATTTTTGTACATCAAGATAAACAAAATTAAAATGAGAAATGTTGCCATGGCAACCAGCTGAAATAAAATAACTTTAAGGTTTATATTTTATTTAGTTTCAATTAAAGGGGTCATATGATGCGATTTCAATTTTTCCTTTCTCTTTGGAGTGTTACAAGCTCTTGGTGCATAAAGAAGATCTGTAAAGTTGCAAAGACTAAAGTCTCAAATCCAAAGAGATATTCTTTATAAAAGTTAAGAGTCAGCCACATCATTATAATCCATAATTATGTCCCCACTGGATGCAACGAATGCCTCGTTTATAATGGGTTTTCATGTTTTTGAATCATCGCTCCGTCCTGACAGGGCATCATCACAGTATGGTAGGGGCGTAACATTTCCGTCACACACTTGAGGTATTCGGCCAATCATAACGCACTGGATAGCTGGTCAATCACAGCACACCTCGCTTTTCAGACTGATGAGCTTTGTAAAAATCGGCGCGTTTCAGAAAGGCGGGGCATAGAGGAGAAACAATAATGTACAGTATGTGGAAAATAATGTGTTTTTTGAATCTTAAACCGCATAAACACATTTCATTACACCAAAAACACAAAATAATGTTCTTTTTAGCAACATCATATGACCCCTTTAAAATTCATTTTATTTCAAGTAACAATGTTAAGTAAATGTTTTTTTAAATGGTTTGAATTTTAGTTAACTATAATAACATTGATGACAATACCATTGAATGTACTGATATAAAAGAGTGACATCTGAACAATAACAAGCTAAATTATGGCAGATTACAGAGATTTTACTGTTGTTTATTTGATGAATATGAAGCAGCTTTTTGTGCATCAAATTTCTGAAAATGTGCATAAAAATATTTCACAAACTTTGAAGTTTTAAGGACATGTTCATATAAAGACGTACCTACAACCACGCGGGTGGAGAGTGACTGATTCATGCAGTGAGCGGCCGACAGGACGAAGTACTCGTTTAAGATGGTGCCACCACAGAAGCCAATGTTGTCTTCATTAATAAGAAGAGCCTGAGAGAACGTAAGATGTCAACGATAACACACTAAAACTGGCACATTTCATATTTCCAAAAAACTCGTAAGGTTTCATGCAAAAGAAGACTAAAACTGAGAAAAACTCAATTATAAGTTTCTACCTGCCATGGACAATCTCCAGGAAGACAGTTCATACCATTCACGATTCTCGTGTCTCCCTCAGATGATTCAGGTAGAACTGGTTGCTCCTCCACTGGATTCATGATCTCCTGCTCGAGGAGGCCGAACATGCCTTTTGTTTCATTGCTGGGAGGGTTTGTGAAATCTATGACAGGCTCAACAGTAGTCTCTACATGCGTTTCCTCTTCATTCTCAGTGTTGTTGATTTGTATGTTGTTTAAGATGCTTCTGGTCTTCTGAGGATGGACGGTGCCACATTTGAAAGGATCTAAAACAGAAAGTTTTTTGAACTGAGGATAATCAGTGGATAAACATCTCTCCTACATCAGAACATCATTTACCATGAGAAAGACATGACTTCCCGTTAGAGGCCAGCTGGTAGCCTTTAGCACATGAACAGGCGATGTTATTCTGCTGTATCCTGCAAAAATGATCACAGCCTCCGTTTTCACTCTCACAGAGCGCAGGAATAACTGCAACAAGACACAGAGGAGAGAAACTCAACAGCATTGATGGTTTGATGGTCTGTTGTGTGATTACTGAACAACATGAGGCTCTTTACCAATCTCACAGTTGTAGCCCTTAAACCCTTGTTGACAGAAACAAGTGTATGGCCCGATCGTATCTTTACACTCGCCGCCATTGAGACATGGGTGGGACAAACACGCATCTCCATCTGAACAAACACCAAACACACAAGCACATATCAAGACTGACTTTACCATTAAAACCAAACTGAACCAAAGGATTGTTACAGACTCACCAACATACACATGCCAGAACTCATCCTGAGAGAAAATAGAAGAACACATCCATCAGATGAAATAAGCACACTTAACATACTCAAAGCACTTTGATTTATTTGAATTGCATTTATTTTGATGTTTGTTTTCATTGGAATAATCCTTAATAAGCTTAGATGCCATATTGAATTTAACACAGATGAAAATGAGACTGTGAGGGATAGAATTACAGTACTTATAATGGTACGCGCTGTATAAAGGTCATAGATCATGTCATTTTCACAACTCTCAACTGTTTTTATGAAGTGTTTTTCAACTTTTTCGGAAAGACTTTTCGTTAGCCGAACAATTGGTATGTTGTTAAACAACAGTTAAATCCACTGTATTTAAGTCCCTCACAGCCTTGTTTTCATTCCTGTCAAAAATTAAATATGCCTCTATCCTAACTGAAGTCTCTATCAGCCTCATTCATCATCATTACATTTACGGTTTAGAATTTGTATCTAAATGTTGCTTATATTGAAATGAAACCATCATGCTTTCATATGTGGTTATTTTAGTTGCAAAAATTCTCATATGACAATTTCATCAGATGGTTCAGACAGAACTAAGTTTCTCATACAGTCGTGATCTGTGTTTGATTATACTGGTTATGCCAAGTTCAATAATTCAACTCTGTTATGAGGACAAACATAGTGACAATAGTTGCTAGTTATTAGTAGTGACATTTTGACATTAAACATGTTTTGAAAAAGAATAGGTTATCATTGTTTATTGTTTATGAGTGAATTTACTTATGTACTCAAATTATAAGCAGATAAGCTCTAAAAGATGAATACTGAGGGAATCGTACACATCACTAGCTATGTTTCCATCCAAAGTTGCAAATTTAACTTATATGTGCAAAATTAGAATATCACATAAAACATTTGCGAATAAAGCACTGTTTCCATCCCATGTGTTCAATCAAGAGAACAAAATAGTCACTTCCTTGGAAACTGGCACAAAGTATTAATAACAAAAATTAAAGTTGCTGAAACTGGTGAAGTCTGTGTTTTTTA